TATGGAAAAAGTGCTGAGGCTGGAAAATCAGCATTTTGCAACCATTATAATTAAGACTAGGTCAGACAAAAATATCAATAAATGCTGAATCTAGAGAGAAATTTTGACAAGAAGTAGAATATTTTCGTGAACTTAAATAGTGTCCTCACAGGCTGCTTATTAATAACAAGGAAAAAAATAGCAATTATACTATGGAAAAATCAAACAACACTTTGACCACATGATAAAAATACTATTACATTGAAAGTAATGGCAAAAACCACAATTACTTTTGCACCAACTTAATATCAGCAAAGATGAACAGATGGACATCATGCATCCCTAGGTGTAATACCCTGAGAAGGTCAAATTATCACCTATGTAGTGTTTTGGCCAATAATAAATAAACTGAATCTGAAGTTTCATTTTAAAATAACTAGATAAATCCAAATTGAGAAATGTTATATTTTGAAAAGGGGGAGAAACATCAATGCCATTTAAGGTAAAGAAAGGCTATGGAAACGTGACAAATTAAAGAGTGTAAAAAAATGTGGCAATTAGGTGCATTACCTGCCCTGGATTCTGTACTGGGGAAAAAAAACTTGCTATAAAGCGCATTATGGGATCAATTTTAAAAACTGGAAAATGGACAATAATTTAAAGTATTGTATCAATGTTAAATTTACTGAAGTTGGCCATTGCACTGTGGATATGTGAGAGACTATTCCTATTAGCAAATACACACTGAAGTTATTAGGACCACACTGAAAAGCCATGTGGTATATAATTGACCCTGAAATGGTTCAGAAAACAAAATAAGAGAGAGAGAGAGAGAGAAGAATAAATAGAGCAAAGTATAAAACAAATGGGGCAAAATGTTCACATAGGTGATTCTGGGCAAAAGCTTTGAATATTCTTCGAACTATTTTTATTCTTGCATTTTTTCTTTAAGTTTGAAATTATTTCCAAATAAAATGTTTAATTTTAAAAAAGATCTGTTCAGAGATCAGAAAGAGACCATGGAAAATGTCTAATGAGACATCTCAAGCTGTTCTAAGGGATGTCAATAGGTGTCCTGAAAATATAAATAGTTCAAATTCAAATAAAGTTTAAAATGTTAGGGTAAGAAAAAATATAAGGTTCTTTATTGAAAATCTCAGAACCTTCCTTATGTTGCTGATGGAGATGGTGAAACTCTAAAAAAAAAAGTTGGGTGGGAGGCTTTAGCTTGAAGCGTTTACCAACTTACCAAATATCTTTGGGCACTGAACTCCTTTTTGTTCTGCTATCTAGAGGGAAAAACTTTAGATTTTGATTTTTAATTTTGCCCAAGATTCTTATTCTTATAAATCAGAATCAAGGTAACTAACATTTCCGGAATACTTACTCTGTGCCAGTGCACTATTTTTCATTACTCTAAGTGTATGAAGTAGAAGTTACTCTCACCTCCATTAAATAGATACAGCTCAATAATAACTTAATTATACATTTTTAAATAACTGAAAGAGTGTGTAATTGGATTATTTGTAACTCAAAGATAAATGTGTGAGGGGATAAATACCGCATTCTCCATGATGTGCTTATTTCATATTGCATGCCTGTATCAGAACGTCTCATGTACTCCGTAAATATATACACCTACTATGTACCCACAACAATTAAAAATTGAATAGGTATAGCTCAGCGAGGTCATGCAACTTACCCAAGGTAACACATCTAATAAATCAGAAGACTGACTTGAGCTTTAGATACCTGGCTCTGAAGCTGAGTTTGACCTCAACGCTATACTGTCAAATCAATTACTGCCAAAATCTAGACCCTTCACTCCCAATCTTGACCTCTCCCTAAATTACTGAGTAAAGTGACCTAATTTTTTTCTATCTTAATTTTCAATCATTTAAAGGGTTGAACAATCTACTAATTATCGTGGTGCTCTGATTATGTATCCTTCATTTTTATATTTAACAATGAAAAGTAAATTTCTTATATTTCCTGATACATATGACAATTATCTTAAATACTAAAGCACACAGTTTGCCTTAAATAATTTTAATTTCTGCATTGTGGGTTGTCTCATTTTTCTAACATATCGCAATAGCCTCTCACTTCTAGAGACTTCAGAATATCATTATTATTATTAACTAACATTTACATAGCACTTTATATTGCCAAGTGTTTTACAATTAATTCTATCAGTTGTTCCTGCCAGGATTCTCCTAATGTAAGACATCGGTTTGTTAAATCCTCTGAATAGACCACAAATGAAAATTATTTCAAATAGGTCTAGTGGAAGTTTTTCTAAGTTTCAAGACCACTCTTTTGGGTGCTACAATTAGCAATGCCTCTCAAGAGCAAAACCCAAGAAACATGGCCAATGAAATAATTATCAATTCAAAAAGTTGATAGTGCTAGAGAAGAAAGCTGCTAAATCATGCCTACGTGCAAGAGACATTGTGTCTAAAATATTTTTACTGCTGATTAGTTTCTGAAGTTAGTTGCACATCAGGCTAATTTTCTTTCCACTCGTAATTTTCAAGAATCTTCACTGTAGACTAGCCTTTGAATTCTTACTTTAATGGAAGTTCTAAATAGCTCCTTACTTTGATATGTATTACAATAACATTTCATGAAAAGACAAACATGGATCTTTTATTTAATAATGAAGAATTGTGGTACAAACAACGATGCTTGTCTTAGCAACCACTGATGTAGAAATTGACAGCTTTTAGCCTGCAGTATCCTCTGCCCAACTTGGCTGGTAACTTTCCAATGAAATGACAGTTTGCCAGCATGCAAAGCCACTAGACATGCACAGCTCACTGTATGTCTACAAGAACAACACTGTAATCTTAGCTACTGCTTATGTTACTTGCTTAAGTTTATCAATCAAAATCTACCAGAAGCAGAGACAATGGTGAAGCCTGTTACAAAGGTGAATTCAGGTATCAGCTTTCTGTTGATAAAGAACAAAACAGTGTGGACATTGCCCTAGTGTCTAAATTATAAAATCGTGACGTGATTGATTAAAACTATAACTGTGTTCAGTAATTAGATCAACTCCACAAAGGGGATTCAAACCAAAGTCGAGTTTTGGGAAGCATTTTATGTGTCTCTCTTCAGCCTGACTGTCCAGCCTCATTTTCAACTCCATTGAGCCCTCATAAGTTGTTGCATTTAAGACTTTGCCAAGACCTAATGCTCTCCCATGTCCTTTCCTCTCTTCTCCTCCATCTCCCTCCGCATCTTCTTGTCAACTTTTAGTCTTTCTTTTTAATCCCTGCCGTGTGTGCTGGCTCACATCTATAACCCCAACACTTTGGGAAGGTGAGGCAGGAGGATTGCATGAGCCCAGGAGTCTGTGACATGCTTGGGTAACATGGTGAGACCCTGACTCCACAACAAGGGAAATACAACAAAAATTAGTCAGGTGTGGTCACCACTGTACTCTAGCCTGGCCAACAATGTGAGACATTGTCATTAAAATAAAAACAAACAAAAACAAAAACAAAAACAAAAAACTTGCCCAGGCCTTACACCCTCTGTTCCTCTGTTTAAGTTCTTCTTGACCTCCAATTTCTACCTTACAGTTGCAAGTTATTGTTATCTCTCCAATGTCCTTCTTGTTCTTTTTATTTTTATTGTTTTATTCATCCAATGGATTTATAATTATTTGTTTGTAAGTATATGTGATCCACTAAACCATGGCACCTGGAAAGTGAGCACAGACTATGTCTTACTCCTTCTTTTATCTAAGGACCTACTAGTGTAATGACACATCGTAGGCCATCAGTGAATACTAAAATAATCAGCTGACGTTTAAGTTGGTTCATCTAGGAAAATTAACAGCTAAGGGATTAAAAAACATTTTCAGATAATAATGAATGGTATATATTATTTTTATAGCTTTTTGGGTAAAATGATCTAGAGACATTTAAAAAAATTGAACAATATGGAAAACACAAAAAAGAAAGTAACAAATTACCAGTTATCCATAGATAACTAGGCACATATACATTACTATGCATTTATAAACATAAGTATACAATTCTACAGAAATGGCATACTTTTAAATAAACTCTTATGTAATCTGATTTTATTAACTCAATTATATATGGTACAGATACTTTTCCTTGTCAATAAATATAACTAAGTCTCATTCCAGTAGCAGCAGAGTGGTTCATAATATGGATATAACATGCTTTAATATGTTGATGAATAAATTACTGTATTCAATTTTTCATTATTGGAAATATTGTCACAATGATGTTTGTGCTAAAAATATGTTACTGTGGAACCCTTGGGTCACTACTCATGGGATTGTAAAATGGAATAGCCATTGTGGAAGACAGTATGGTGGTTCCTCAAAAAATAAAAAAAATAAAAAATAGAATTATCACGTGATTCAGCAATTCTACTTCTGGGTATATATCTAAAAGAATTGAAAACAAGATGTGGAAGAGATATTTGTGCATCCATGTGTATAGCAGCTTTATTCACAATAGCTAAAACATGGAAGCTACCTAAATATGCATCAATGGATGACTAGATAAACAAAATGTTGTACACACATGCTAAGGAATATTATTCAGCCTTAAAAAGGAAGGAAATTCTGACCTGTGCTACCACATGAGTGAACCTTGAGGACATTACACCAAATGAAATAAGCCAGTTACAAACAAACACTGTGTGATTCTACTATGAGGCACTTAGAGTAGTTAAAATCATAGAGATAGAAAATAGAATAGCAGGGGCTAGAGGAAGGAGGGAATAGACGTTGTTGTTAATGGGTATTGAGTTTCATTTTACAAGATGATAAAGAATTATGAAGAGAGATGATGGTGATGTTTGCACAACATTACAAATACTCACAAATGGTTAACATAGCATCATACATTTTATATGTATTTTACTGCAATAAAAAAATGGAAAAAAAGTATGAGTGACAATTATTAGTGAGACAAAGCATCTTTTCACATGTCTACTGTTCATCTGTATTTCGTCTTTTGTAATTTACTATTATAGCCTGTTGTTCTAGTATTTTGACAAGCACTTCACAAAGGATTGCCAGTGCTTCTCAACAGAAAGAAGTAACTAATGTTGGAACTTCAGGTATGGAATCAAGGGAATGTGGAAGAATATTTGTGATACATATGCCTTTAAGTGCCTATCAGATCATAGAACTTTATGGGCTCTTGCCAGGAATAACAATAGCACTGTGTTATATGCTCAATTTGTAGAAATATGGGCTTCATCTTTGGTGGTATTTCCACTGTGAGGTAAGGAGTTTAGAAAATCAGAGTGTTTGTGTATCAATTTTTTTGCTTTTCTTCAAAGTAATCCCTCACAATGTCCAATGAAAAATATTTAGGACTAAGTTGCTGACCTCAGAGATTTTATTTAGGGTTTACATGTCCTATGCAATCTGTTTTTCCCACAGGAATTTAAAATAAACATGTTAAAATAGAATTTACATATTTGAAATTACAATCTAAAAACTGATTTATTTTCTGGAGATTTCTATGGCCCATATTTAATGATAATATTTGACACAGCTTATTTCCCAAACCATGCTCTATCTTTCTGAGATCTTTAATCCTACAAGGTAAAATAAGAGAGTTTCAAGTACAGCTCTAAATACACACCTGTGTATCCCTTTTGTGTCACAATTCACAGTGGGTTTGTTGATCTAAAAGTACTAAAATGAATTTGATTTTCATGCCATAAACACCATTATTCTGAGCAATTGAAAGATTAGTAGGTGAGAGTCTGGATAGTGTTGTTTCTAAGCAAAAATGGAAAAGCAAAGTTTCAGGATCGATTTTTGTCAGATATGTGAACACCCGTTCTATAGAATTTAGCTCCTGTTTTGACAGCTTATTGAATACTCCCTCAACTTTTCCCGCCTGTTAATGTCTCCCATTAATTAATACCCATTCTCTGTTCGCAGTTTTGATAGAACAGCAGTAGTTGTTAACACAACACTCATAATCACAATTGTACAGGTATGTATTTTGTCTGTGTTACATGTAAGCCTCAGATTTTAAATATTAGGAGAAAAGTAAAGTAAAATTTCTAGAAATAAAATTGTTTTGTAATAACAATAAGAATGGTTTTTATTTCATTTTTTTCCTTTCCTTATACTGGTATCAAATACCATAAAATATCTCCCTATATTTCCTTTATTTTTGTATGAATAAGATTACAATAATTGGATTTAAAAAAATTTTTAATACATCTGGAAGACACTGTTTTGTTACTTGGTAGAACCAAGGAGCAACTTTTTACAATGCAAATAATGGTCATCAAGGGATGTCACATGTTCACATACAATTTTTCCCTTAGAGGTCAAAGTAATTTAGAAATGCATAACCTTTAACATTTTTAAAGTGTGTAGAATTTTGTACAATGTTTCTCCAAATTTTTAAGAGCATAAGATTCTGAAAAATAACGACAATTGTTTTACTGGAGGAGCTAAGGATGGTGACTAGTATAGACCTTTATATGAGTTTTTAAAAGTTATGCATGTGCATTTATAAACATTTGACTATACAAAAACCTTTTTTAAAAAAAATAATTTTAATATTCATACAAATATTTTGGATGGTTTTGTGTTTCCATTCAAGGAAACACAAAAATCGATGTTTCTTTATTACATGATTGTGACATTACATCATAAGCATATCCCCATGTTACTACATCTTTTCCAAAACTATTATTTTAATGTCTGAATTAAATGCTGTTGAGTATAATTAGTAAACACTGAAAGTTTACTTAGTAATTCTCCTATAATTAACCTTTTGCTTGTCTCCTTTTTAAAAAAACTATAAATAAATCTCTGAAAAGCATCATAATGCCTACCCTCAAATTTAAAATTCTTGCTGTAAGTTTCTAAAAGTGGAATTATTAGCTCAAAAAACATACCTATATGTGTTTTTACAAAGAAAATGTATATGTATTTATAAAGCATATGTATTTTGTGTATATATATGTATTTTATGTGCATATATATGTAAAATATGGATTTTGTGTATATATATATATATACACACACACACATGAGAGAGAGAGAGAGAAACAGTTGCAATCCTGCCAACAATGTATAAGCTGAACTCTGAATTTCATAGAACCATTGCAAGCATTGGGAGTTACAATTTTTTTCATCTTTCTTAGTTGATGGGTAAAAAAGAGGTTATTTGACTTTTTTTTTCAATTTACATTTATTTGATTATCAGACAGATTTGTTGCAATATACTTCTAGACTACAGTAAAGATTTCACTTAAATATAGTTAGAAATTTGACCAATAAAAAAGATATAAAAATTGAAATATTTATAATGTATGTTATTTATAAAGCATAATTGAAATTGCAATTAAATTTACTAGTGTCTACTAGCCTTCTCCTTAAAGTAAATCAAATACTATCTCTATACATAAGTGAGTTTGGGGGTAATAAGAGATAATCATTTTCAAAGTAACTGGCTAGAAACAAGTTTTCCCTATTTTTTGGTGGGGAGGGGGCAAATTGAACTGCTCTACTCTGAAAATCCATTTTGAATTTAGGATTAAGGAAATTTTTTGCTTTTTCTATCAAGAGCTACTGGGAAACAAAAAAGAAATCAGGGCTTCATTTTAAAAAAAAGACGTATTTTTATGAGAGCAATACAAAACCTTGGCTATTGATAATAGTTTATTAAACAGAAAAAAAATGAACGTTTCTGCAGAGATTTACAACAGTTATTTAAATATAATCTTTAGTTCACTGTCATAGTCACTTAAGAAAAACAGATGAAGGGAGCAACAGAAGAGAGAAGCAACAAAATGAAAAGATAGAAGAAAAAAGGGAAGAAAGAGAAAGACAAGTAAACAGGATAAATACATCGACAGCTACAGAAAGGAAGAAACACAAGTAAGCACAGAGCCATAAAGGAAGGAAAACAGAGGAGAGCTGGGTTGAAGTCTGTGAGGGGAGTGTTAGTTCAAGCCAAAGAAAGCTACTTTGGTCACACTGTGGCGTGTGTTGGGACATGAACCCCTGATTGTTAGCTTTTGTAATCACTGCTTTCAAATGCTGACTTAGTGTCAGAACACTGATGAACTGTTGAGCAGTATAAACGTGAGATCATAGCTAAGTTTCCATAATTGTCATTGATGGAACATTTAAACAATAAAATCAAAAGGCAAATCAATTAACACAAAAACTTCTCGTTCAAGGGTATGTCTCAGAGAAAGAAGAGGAGAGTGGTTCCTGCAATTATGTCAAATTCAGCTTGAGTTTACTAATGAAGAACCAACCTAAACAATTTCCTAAGAAGTATGTTCAGCCCACCAGTTATCTGCACAAGTAGCTCCTGGGCAAGTGTTGCTTAATTTCACTAATATAAGGAGAAATTATCTTCCTGTTAACTTGGAACAATAGTGAAGCACTGGTTTAGTTTTATTTTTGATTATTTTTTACAATAAGTATGTTTTTCTTCCTTCCAAAAGAAACCACCAGGGAAGCCTCATTTTCTTCACATTAATATGGTGTGCCATTCTTGGCGGGGAACTGTAGGTGTTGCTGAAGCTACATAGCTGAAAAAGCTAAGCCAGGCCTCTAATTCTTTGGCTTATTACAGTTCTATTTTAGCCCTGTCCTCTTTTTCCCACTCAAATTCTGTAGCCTAGCATGTGTTTGGATATGCTGCATCCTCCAGTTCTTCACACTAAATATACTCTCAGAAGCCACGAGCAAAACTTGCAGATGAGTCATTCTCTTTGGAAGACTCAGCTCCATGGTGGACGGTTCGTAAACTGGAATAGATTCAGCTGGATAGGGGGAGTAGAGACAACAGTAGTTGGTTCATTGTGTTCTGCAAAAGGAGCCAAAGCGTGTTGGGGGTGGGTGGTTTCAGAGTAAATTGAAGCAAATGCTCATATTACACTTTAAGGAAAAGTTGGTTAAAGAGACAATACTCTTAATGATAATACTCTAAAGCTTAGAATTTGTGTTCATCACTTGTTTTGGGGGTTAGGCACATTTTTGGTGGTGGTGTTGTTATTCTTTGACCAATTCTCAGAGCATAATTTGTTTCCAGTCTTTTTGTTCTAAGAGTGAAAAGGTCAACGCCCTTTGACATGGCATGAGCTATTCAGTGCACCAGGGGAAACGTCACCAGCAGTGCTGGACTTAAAACAACTTCGGGGCAACCAGAGTCAAACACAGGAAGTGTTGTTCAGGCCCCCAGAGAATACTGGCTTTGTTTATTAGCCAACTTACATCTGGTTGAATTGCTAAGTGCCACTATCTTGAATGAGCAGATACATCAGAGACTACAGACCCAGATGAGGTATTTGTAGGCATGACATAACAACATCACTCTCCTAAAGTGTCCCCTACAGGAATCTAAATACAGAGTGGCTATTTTCTTAAATGGGAAAAGTTCCATCTCAGGTCCCCATAGTCCAATACACACTAAATGATTCTACAAATGAACAAACACTGATTTGATGAGACAGTAAATTTAGTGGGAAAAATAATCAAACAAAAATGCAGGAAAAAAATGTGGATTTTTAAAATAAACAGTCTAATCAGAAAGTGAATTACACATTTAATCTTGTGAATTTTTAAAATGATTTCACACAGGAAACACTGACCTACTCAAAATAACATCAGAAAGATGTTTATGTACATGACGTGTAAATTTCTAAGTGTTCAATGAGTTATTAACTGTTGTTTTACTGTATGAGAAAATGGTTTAACTCCATTTCACAGATTAATTGAGAAAGAAAGGTTAAGTGTTTTGTCTAAGGTCACTCAGCAAATCTAAACCAGAGACACATTTAGTTCTCTGAGTTACTGACTTCCTGTCTATGTTTTAAATCCGTGAATCATTTTGTTTCTAAATATACTGAAGGAGATTCAAGGTCCTAGGAAAAAAATTCACATTGTATCACAGTCCCTCATTTGAAAATAGGGAAAATCTGGATAAATTGCACACCAAGCTTATTCTCCAGGATCAAAGATAGTACTAAAGAGGAAAAATAAATGCAGACTGAAGATGGAAAAGTTCTAAATAGTTATTAAACATCTTGGCCATGCAAAGAGCTCTTTGCTTGCAGACGAAGAGTTTAGATACTTGAGTTCTGGTCCCAGCTCTGCCATATACTTAGCTAGATGGTTCTTAATCTCTAAGTCTGACTTTCCTTATCTGTAAATGGATATAATAAGACCTGGGACGGGCATGGTGGTTCACATCTGTAATTCCAGCATTTTGGGAGTCCTAGGCAGGTGGATCACCTGAGGTCAGGAGTTCAAGACCAGCTTGGCCAACATGGTGAAACCCCATCTCTACAAAGATACAAAAATTAGCCAGGCATGATGGTGGGTGCCTGTAATCCCAGCTACTCAGGAGGCTGAGGCGGGAAAATCGCTTGGACCTGGGAGGTGGAGGTTGTAGTGAGCTGAGATCACGCCACTGCACTCCAGCCTGGGGGACAGAGTAAGACTCCATCTCAAAAAAAAAAAAGACCTGACCTTTCAGGAAAGTCATGAACATCAAATGGGTTTATGAACACAAAAGAGTATTTTAAATAATATCATAAGTTGTAGAGTGCTGTACAAATTCCATTAGTGATTGTGGTCGTGGCCCTATTGTCATACTAGAAAGGAAATGGCAGGAAGCCAATGAATAAAATAAATGTCATAAATTAATGGCTCTTAATCATTTTATATCACCAGCCCCACTGAAAATGCAATGAAATTCATAAACTCTATTTTCAGAAAAGTTCACATTCAGAAGTATATCCAAAATTGTAATTGTAATCTCAAGAGACTCATAGATCATCTTGAATTCTATGTGTTCATAGAATACCATTAAGACTACTTGCAGAGGAAGAAGAAAAATGGCAGATTACTTGGAAAGCAAGAGGCATGGGAATCAAACAGCTGAGTCATTTAGAAGTGACATGTGTACAGACAGATTGCTGATTGATGAATTGTGTTAACATGTCTTTGTCCAGGAGAGAAGAAAATTCCCTATTGTTGTGGGAAGTCAGGGACCCGAACGGAGGGATGGGCTGAAGCCGTGGCAGAAGAACATAAACTGTGAAGATTTCATGGACATTTATTAGTTCCCCAAATTAATACTTTTATAATTTCTTATGCCTGCCTTTACTGCAATCTCTGAACATAAATTGTGAAGATTTCATGGACATTTATTAGTTCCCCAAATTAATACTTTTATAATTTCTTATGCCTGCCTTTACTGCAATCTCTGAACATAAATTGTGAAGATTTCATGGACACTTATCACTTCCACAATCAATCCCCTTGTGATTTCCTATGCCTGTCTTTACTTTAATCTCTTAATCCCAACATCTTCTTCGTAAGCTGAGGAGGATGAATGTCGCCTCAGGACCCTGTGATGATTGTGTCAACTGCACAAATTGTAGAGCATGTGTGTTTGAACAATATGAAATCTGGGCATCTTGATAAAAGAACAGGATAACAGCGATGATCAGGGAACAAGGGAGGTAACCTTGAACTGGCTGCCGGTGAGCCAGACAGAACAGAGCCATATTTCTCCTCTTTCAAAAGCAAATAGGAGAAATATCAAGCAACATTGTAGAGAAAGAGAATGCGCCCCTGACGACAGGCCTATGAATGGCACCCTTGGAAGCCTGCGGTCTTTTATGGTCCAAGCGGAAGGAATGAAATAAGCCCTGATCTCCTGTAGCGCTCCCAGGCTTATAAGAACAAGAAAATTCCCGCCTAATAAATTTTGGTCAGACAGGTTGTCTGCTCTCAAACCCTGTTTCCTGATAAAATGTTATCAATGACAATGCGTACCCGAAACTTCATTAGCAATTTTAATTTCGCCCCATCCGGTGGTCCTGTGATCTCGCCCTGCCTCCATTTGCCTCCATTTATTACCTTATGAAGTATGTGATCTCTGTGACCCACACCCTATTCGTGCACTCCCTCCCCTTTTGAAAATTGCTAATAAAAAATTGTTGGTTTTATGGCTCGGAAAATATCATGGATCCTGCGTACATGTGATGTCTCCCCTGGACACCCAGCTTTAAATTTCTCTCTCGTACTCTTCCCCTTTATTTCTCAAACAAGCTGAGATGCCTAGGAAATAGAAAAGAACCCACGTAACCGTCGGGAGTGGGTTTTCCGGATACCCTATCCATTTATGAGAATCCTAGGAGCACTTTCATGGAGTTGTAGGGAGAAACCCAGAAGTAGGTGTTGTAGGGTGGGGAAAAAAGAAGAGGGAAAGGGATGAAGGAGAATGGCAGCCAGACATTCTGACTGGGGCAGGAGAGTAACTGACAGTACTAGCCCCTGCATTCTTCTGGTTCTCTTACCTGTAGACTCTGCTGAGGCCACACTGAGACTAATTCTAGCTAGAGATGGGGGGATAAAAGGGACCCTAGCTGTCAACAACGCTTTCCATTAAAGCCATCCTGTGGCTGAGCTGCTTCTAACATTCACTCTCAGGCTCACTATGAATGAATTTTATTACCTGTTCTGCCGCCTATAGTTATGCTACCATAACTAGATTTTGACAATCCAAATTTAGACACGACTTCAGACTTACTCTAAGAGACTCCAGTGTATTCCACATGTCCATTTTCCTTGTGCTTGTCTCAGGTCCACTTTCTAGACTCATATATCCTATAATATATGATATATCTAGATGCCTTAGTCTTGACTGTGCAGTTGAATTCCCATATTCTCTTGACTTTGAATTCAGGACACATTCTAGTCATTCCTTATTCTGGCTTAACATTATTTCTCCTGACTCCAGATCTGAACAGTGGTGATGTTTTGTGAAATTGCTAATTTGTGTAATACCAGCAAATGGTTTTGGATCTTTCTCCTCCCATAGATGCTTCTTGAACCACTGAGTCACTCCAGCAAGATAGACTTCCAAATACTAAAGAGTGGTTCCTCTAATTTGCCATATATTATATAGCCCTGAATTTGCCTAAAGTTTCTGAAAACAAAATCATTCATAAGAAATGAAAATAGGGTTCTTATTTGTTGGACCATCTTTTGTAATGAAATTGCAGGTTGGTACCTTTGTTTATAATGGTTCACATGTGCATACACACACGAATGTCCTTCCTTTCTATAATACATACCTTGGCATGTACTGTTCATCTTAATGCTAACTTTCTGCACTCTCAGACGTATTTTTTTTTGTAGCCCACACAAAATCTCTCTGTGTGTTCTGTTACATAATGCAAGACTTGGTTATATTCTTTTCAGCACTTACCTCTGCAAGATACTCAACTGTAGATAAAAAAAAAACTGAAGCTTGAACAAGGAGTGGAGAGGTGGAATTAATAAGTAAGGCCAGACACCTCTAACTCCACTGTACTTCTCTAAGTGTTAGAAGTGGTAATTTATTTTAGAATCATAAATTTAC